CGCGGCGGCGGGGGAGGGGCGCGGCGGCGGCGCCCACCGGGACGGCGGCCTGGCGGCGGGCGGCGGGCGGGGAGCTGTCTTCCGCGCGCCCGAGCGCTCCGGCCGCCCCCGAGCAACAGGCTGCAGCGCCGCGCCTCCGGGTCGGGCGGCGCGCGCCCGCGCGGTCGTCTTGCGACGCCCGGGTCGTCTGGGGCACGCGGCCGGGGCCTCCCAGTGGCCCGGGGCGCACTCGGGGGCCTGCGCGACAGGCCCGGGCGGCGGGCGCTGCCTGGGGCGCGCGGTCCGCGGCCGAGGCCGACCTGTTGGCCGAGCCTGGGTGCAGGCCGCTTTGTGCCGGCTGGGCTCGGCGGGCAGGGCTGGGCGGAGCGGGCAGCGGGGAGCTGCGGGAGGCATCGATAACACGGCTCTCCCTTATCTAGATTTTGAGAAGAGGGGGAAGAAGGAAGTTTGTCCCGTCCTGGATCAGTTTCTTTGTCATGTCGCCAAGACTGGAGAAACAATGTGAGTTGAAAACGCGCTCCTCGTCCTAGGCCCGCTTACCACTCGGAATTGCTTAGCGAAGGGGGAAAAGGTGTGTTTGGGAAGAATCAAATAATGTAGGTGTGTAAATCGGAGAAGCCCTGGTCACCTAAAGAACGTAGCAAGCAAGTATAGTTCCACTCTGTGCGTGCTCGGCCCCAGGCTTCAGAAGATCCTTTACGTGCAGGTTTGCAGTGGGTCTGCCTTGGCATTCTTGGAGAACCGACTGGCCCGAAAGGACCAGAGAGAAAGACATCATGACCCCCTTCTGGCCGTCACAGGCGTGTACTCCTTATTTTGTGACTTTGACTCTGTTTCAGTCTTTATTGGAGTTTTCTCGTACTGTCCTGTATCCAGACTTTTGCTATTTGAAGTGTAACTTCTATTTATCGTCCTCAGGACTCAGGGTGATTATCTGACAAATTCCAGATGCTTAAGTTTTGACTGTCCTGTAAACTTTCTAAGATAGCTAAGTTGTTACCTATACTCAGCATTTTATTAGGCTTGCTTCCAAATGTTCTGAATCTGAAACCTACAAAGTTAGGGCTATTGTCAAAAGGAAAACTTTAGTTCATTTGTTTTGCAGTTTGTGTGGTAGGAGTTTTGACACTGGCCAAGTTAATTTGTTGAGGACAGTACATTTTTGGCATCTTTCCTATTCTTAGGGGGACATCAGAAGGGGGAAAAGTTTCTTTGGGTTCAGTATTAAGTGGGCTCTCTGCTTAGTTTGAGTGCATCCTTCAGAAGGGGTGCTGTATACTTTCTTTTTATTAGGTAATGTTCACGTCTCTCCAGATTTGCTTATGGTTGTAGCCCAGTTCTCCTAAAAACTAGCCTAATTTTAGAAAGGAAAAAGAATCTCTGAGGCAGTAATGTGTGAAAAAATACACGATGTAACCTAACATGACTGTAATGTGTTCAGACTTGTATTTCTACTTATCTTTAACTTATGGAACTTCGTAGTGAAAAAAAGCTGTATTTTAACCTCAGTTACAATCTTTTATAGAACATTATATTTTAAAAAATTAACACAGAAAGCTAATTACTATTATACAATAAGCCTAAAAATGACTAGGTGCCATCTTTCGAAAATAAATTAATTCCTAGAATATAAATACTTACATTCCCTTGTTCGTTTTGAATCACTTATTCGTCCAAACTTATTTTTCTCTATAATGTAAAGGAGAAACATTTTGCTTTCAGGATTTTTTTTTCTTATCTACAAGAGTATTTCAAACTATTTGGAGATAAATACATAAAACCTTTTATTTACTTTATCAGATCTGTACAAACTGCCTTCTCTTTTTGATAAAATAACTTTTATCAATATATAAATGTGTACAAATAGTTGAAACTTTCTGAAAGATAAGTTTTTAATATCCTGTCTTACTAGATCACTAAGTGGCTGGGGAAATTATCTGATGGGGGGGGCAGTTATGACAGAGGACTCATATACTCCTATTTCGGCCCTACATTAGGTGTTGTATATTTACCAAGAGTGTTTATATTGAAATGACTGATGTTCTTATATTTGTATTCAAGTAGCCAGCATTTATATATTTAGCTTTAGTTTTTTTTTTTTTCCCTCCCCCCCCCACCACCATAAAGATGGAACCCAGGGCCTGGCACATGCCAGGCAAGTGCTCTATCACTGAACTATCCTTGTAGTCCCAAACAGTGTTTTTTAATTTAGTTTTATTTTTGTGGGATGCTGGAGCTCCATATTGGGGCTTTCGGTATGCTAGGTCAATACTCTACCACTGAGCTACATCCCAGCCTGATTTCCTTTTTTCATAAATATGGGTGTACCTTAAATTTTGATGCTGCAATTTGCAGTTTCTCTTTCATTTGTTTATTTTATTTCACCTTTTTAATTAGTTTTTTAAAATTTGTTCTGGGGATCAAACCCAGGACCTCATGCATGCCAGGCAAATGCTCTACTACTGAGCCACATTCCCAGTCCCTCTTTCATTTGTTTATGATGACAACAAGCTTTGTCTAGTTTATAAATATTGCAACAGAAGAGTGGAAATCTGAAGAAAACTATTAAGATCTCTTGGATGTTTTAAGATGGATGGGTTGCTGAAGAATCCCAAGAAAACATTAACGAGAAAAGTTTGTGAAACCGTTTTTACATGAAAACCTTTGACAGAGCTGGGGTTGTGGCTCAGCAGTGGAGCGCTTGCCTAGCACGTTGGAGCCCCTGGGTTCCATCCTCAGCACCACATAAAAATAAACAAAATAAAACTGTTGTGTCCAACTAAAAAACAAATATTAAAAAAAAATCTGTGACAGCAAAGATGGTTTTCCTTTTAAAAAAACAATTGATCACACACTTAACTTTTTAGCTTTCACGGTTTTTAGAATTATGGGTATAGACTTTGTACTAAGGAAGGCATTGGAGGGAAATTAAGGAACATTGAACACTTTGTCTCCTTAGTCTATTAAAGTTACTTGAAAACATCTAATGTAGGAAGTTAGGGAAGATGCCAGGACCACTTCTTCAGACTTTCTGTATTGGAAAGATCACTTTTGAAAATGGACATTTTCTTGAGTGAAGCTTATTTTTCTAAAGTTAACAGTTTTCAACAACACTCAGTATATATGCTGCGTAAATACAAATGTTGGTTTCACTCATGCAGTTAAAGGTATTTGATGCATTTGAGTCTCATTGTTATCCAATTTGATGGTCCCAGATTGTCTTCCACGTGACCAGTGGCAGCCTCTTCCAGTATGCTCCAGTGTCCTTTTCACATGACTCTAGTAGTCTTAGTTGGCACCTTGTTGTCTGGCTTGGAAATCTTTTCTAACCTCACTTCTTGCCCCAGACCTGGCATCAGCCATTTTTCAAGAAGCCCTGCTTTCTTTAGTGGGAAGTGGTGTTGAAAACTATAATCTTGGGGTTGGAGATGCTTATTACTCAGTTGGTTGTTGTTTCTAGCCTCTTCTTTGAACAGAGCTAGATAAAAATAACTTTACTGAGACTTGTAGTTCAAAATCTGTACTACAGAATTTTTCGTCCACACCAGAGATCCTGTTTTTCAAGGATATCCTATAATTATTTTTATCTAGCATTGCACAGCAGAAAATATAAGAATGCTACATTGCTGCTAGCACAATAAGAACATTATTTTTTTTAACCTAAACTCACCTAATTTCTATTCCCCATTTTAAAAAAGGTAGTTGTATCTGCATTGTCTGAGCACATTGCTGTAATGTAACTCTTAGCTGTTTTTTTTTTAGTCAGTTAGTTTTACAATAGTTATATTTGTAATGTTTAATGGTGAGTACTTACACCAGTGTCTGTAGTCAGTTTGGTTATCTGAAGCTCACTCTGTACTAGATTTGTTTTTAGGGTGTGGGGGCGATGTTGGGTATTGAACCCAGGACCTGCACTTCATGCTTTGGTAGCACTGATCATCACTTCCAGCCTCCTCTGGCACATTCTTGCCACAGGGCTTGTGGGGATAGTGTTTCCTGAGTTCTCCTATATATGTTTGGGCCTTTACTCTTGAAGGTTATATTTTGGCTGGAAATCAAGTCGGCTCACATTTTCTGTCCTTGAATATCTTAAAACATGTTATTTCCATTGTTCCCCCCCATTAACTTAGTATTACTGTTAAAATCTGATTGTATTTTAATATTTTTTACCTTATAAACCATCTGCTCTTTTTACTTTGCTTCCTAAAGGATTTTTTAAATTTAAAGTGCAGTGGTTTTTTCCTAGCATATTTTAAAATTTTATTGTTTATTTTAAAGATTCAAAAAAAAAAAAAAGTGTCGCAGGGGCTGGGATTGTGGCTCAGAGGTAGAGCGCTCATCTAGCACGTCTGAGGCCCTGGGTTCGATCCTCAGCACCACATAAAAATACACAAACAAAATAAAGATATTCTGTCCAACTAAAAAAATGAATATTTAAAAAATAAAAAACAAACCTTGCTGGACATTTTGGTTTAGTATAGTCAAAGAATGTGGTGTGCTCTTTCAATATGTATTTTTAAATTGTTCAAAAAAATTTTTAAAGCATTTCAGGAAAGTGATTCTTGAATTATTTTCTTTGGTTTTCTTCTTAAGGGATTACTTTTCCTATATTGAATTTTCAGTGCATTTCTTCAGTATTTGTCATTTTTTTCTTGAAGTCTTTATTTTTTTTTTAAACAGCATTATTGAGGTCTGATTGACATATCTGTTGCATCTATACATTCACCATTTAATGGCATTTGGATTATTTCCAGTTTTCTTATTATAAATGTCTTTGTGTGAACTTAACACTTTTTTTCTACTGAATAAACACTGAGGTGTGGAAGGCAGGATCATACTCTAGGTGTGTGTTTAACTTTCTCCATAAAGTGCCAAACTTTTCCACAGTAGTTACAGCTGTTTACATTCCCACCAGCATTAAGGGAGTTGAGCGTCTTTATATCTTTTCTAATACTATAGTCGCGGTGGTGGTGGTGGTTGTTTTTGTGTGATTGCAGGAGTCTCAAGCGTGCTGGTGTGGTCAGTGTTTTTCACTTTGGCCGTGCTGCTGAATGCATATTACATAATGGTTTTAATTTGCATTTCCCCAATGCCTGATGATAGTTGAGCGTCTTTTCACATGTTTATTGTTAAAAATCTTTGACCATTTTGAAATTGAGTTGTTTTATATTGAGTTTTTAGAGTTCTTTATCCCAGAAGAAAGTCTTTTTTATCCATGCTTTGCAAATGTTCTACTGTTTCGTGGGTGTCTTTTCATTGTTTCTCAAAGAGAAGATTTTCACTTAATTCTACTTCAGATTTTAAGAATTTCCTTCTTTGAAAGACTGCATTGTAAGTGTGTTGTTCATTTGTGCTTATGTACTTCCTAGTTTAGTTTTTATTTTAGAAGTAATTTTTTTTTTCTTTCCTGAATTCTTTCACTTTTTCTGAGTTTCTTTAACTGACTTTTGTTGTCTTGTGTCATTCTTCTTGGTGCCTTAGTTCACTTTGAAGTGATATGA